AACAAGTGCGGCATAGCCCAGGTGAGGTACGGATGCCCAGACTGGAGCTCCCGGGCTGTGGGCAGAGGGTGTGAGTGGAGGCCCCAGGTGAAGCTGCTCAGGGCCATTAAGGCTGGTTGGTTCCCTCAAATTCATGATGATGCTGGGTGTGCATCCTGAGCCAGGGTGATCTGTGAGGCTTGTAAACTTATTTTCTCTTCTGTCTTCGGAGTCTGCTACTGAAAATATTAAAGAGCTTAGCATCCAGGGCAGGCAATTACAGAACCCTAGAAAACTTAACAGATTTACAAGACATGCGAATACAATCAGAGGCTCCTTTTTGTCTTGTTTACACATTGTCTTTTTTCTCCTTGACGTCTTTTCACGATATTTTGAAATCAGTGTCATAGAAGAGTGTCAATGGATTATTTACAGATCTTGTAATCTTGTACTTAGAAACCTATTTTCAGATCTATTGAGAAGCAATCTGATAAGCCTCCTTCTCTAAAAAAAACCTTTAGTTTCCTAACTGACATAAAAGACTTTCACTCTTTTTAGAACCAGGAAACCAGTTGCCACTTGTATTGATTACAGATGGAAAACTCTTTTTTACATGACAGCAAAGTAGAAGGAAATTTATGCAGGTGGATCTCCAAATAATTTCATGGGTTGGTTCCTGGAGAAATTGAATTGTATTCTTTGGTTGGCCAGTTATTTCTCCCTCATTCTGAAGAGTTCTAGTTATTCCTCTGGCATAGTTTTTTACCCTATTAAGAGAAAGTTTGGGAACATACATTTTCTGCAACTGAATGGGGTGGAAATTACTGCTTCTTGTAATAGTCGGACACTTAAAATGATACTGATGATACTGGTGCTCTTTGCTTCCCTTAGCACTCAATAATCTACACTTTTCACTTGTTGCACCAGGAAATGGCTACCATCTGCTCACAATTAGACTTGGGTTGGCATGTATTTATGATGAGAACAGTCATACTGGATGAAACGAGACTTTAATCTAGGACAGTGTCCTCTCAGATAGTTAGCAGAAGCTGGTGTTAAAAAGCATGATCTTTCTGTGATATACTTTTCTAGATTCCAGTTATTTATGGTTTTGGGACTACCTGAGCTGAACTCAGGGGTTTCATCTGAGTTGTCATGTTTGGTATCCACATATGGAATTAATCTAAGTAATTTTTTAATGCACTTAAAAAAAAAAAGGATATTTTTCCATACACTGGAAGTGTGTAGAATAAGTCCTTTTTCATTCTTTTAAGTTTGCTTTCTGACAATTTCCTGAGTGTTCTCTCCTCCTTATATTGAGAGAAATAATTAATATTCATTCTGTAAGGCATTCATGATTTTATAGACATGTATTCATTTTAGTAATCTCTTTCCAAATAGAAAAGTCTTTTTTTTAGTCTCTCTTCATTTGTATCTTTGCTTTTCCTGTTCACTGTGTGACCTCTTTTAGTTTAGAGAGGGTAACCAGATGCACAATTTGTGCAAAATGTTGTTATACAATGGATTTTTATGACAGAATGACATTTTCTGTATGATTTTCAGCTCTTTTCCTAATAATTCCAGTGTTCTTATTGCCTTTTTAACTGCCTCAGAGCTTTCAAATTATTTTTAGGGAGAATGGAGCAGCTTTAACAGCTCCTTTCTTGAGTGATAATAGCTAATTTTGGACTCATCATTGTCTACCTGTAGTCAACATTGGTTTTCCCCAGGTGTTAAGTTTGTACTTCTTGATGTAGAAATTAATTTGACTTTCAATCATACATTTGGTTCAGTATATGCAACATTTCCAGATATTGCTGACTTAAAGTGCAGTAGAATCATGAAGCATGACTTTTCTTTGCAAAAAAAGTACCAATCTTTTCGAGTATATCAAACTCATGTTTCATTTCATGTTTCCATTAATTCGCTGTGTACAGAAAAAGACTACTGGTCTGTAGATCTCAGAAGCTTCCTTGCAGCCTTTTAAGGAGATTGATGTATCTTTTATAATATTGTGCCCCTTTTACTGAGTTTGATTTAAGTAATTAATAAGTCAGTAATCTTGTATTTCAGTTCATTTAGAACTCTTGACTAATGTGTGGTGACTTTTCAACAGATGAGATTTTGCAAAAATCTTTTCCTTCTGACATTTCAGTCTGAAACCAGTCTTGAAAAGAATTCCTAATATAGAATGGTAATACCTCTTTCTTAGTGCGCAGCTCTGAAACACTTTATTTGAAATCTCTGTTGTGGTTCTCTTTTCCCTGGATGCTACACACAATCATAGAAGCATTGGTTGATCTGCTCCAGCTCAAAGCAGCAATGTTGTCAGTTCTAGATCCAGTCAGTCATGATTTTGTATGGATGAGTCTTGATATCTCTGGGGACAGAGGTCCCACATCCTCTCGGACAACCTGTTACTGATACTGCACTTCCCTCTTAGTGAAAAGTTCTGATGTCCAATCTGCATCTGCTATTCATACCACTTAATTATTTATTGCCCTCATTGATTCTCTATCAATCTTCCTTTGTGTTTTTGACATTTGAATTTTTTTTTCCTTCATGCTTTAAGCATGTTGCTTGTTAACATTTAGTAGGTAAAGAGAGGTTCTCCTCCCCTTCTACTCTGCCCTGGTGAGACTGCATTTGGAATATTGTGTCCAGTTCTGGGCCCCTCAGTTCAAGAAGGACAGGGAATTGCTTGAAAGAGTCCAGCGCAGAGCCACAAAGATAATTGAGCGAGTGGAGCATCTCCCTTATGAGGAGCGGCTGAGGGAGCTGGGTCTCTCTAGCTTGGAGAAGAGGAGACTGAGAGGTGACCTCATTAATGTTTATAAATTTGTCAAGGGCGAGTGTCAGGAGGAAGGAGCCAGGCTCTTCTCTCTGATGTCCAATGACAGGACAAGGGGCAATGGGTGCAAGCTGGAGCATAGGAGGCTCAACCTGAACATGAGGAAAAACTTTTTTACTGTAAAAGCAACAGAGCACTGGAACAGGCTGCCCAGTGAGGCTGTGGAGTCTCCTTCTCTGGAGACATTCAAAACCTGCCTGGACGCGTTCCATTGTGACCTAGTCTAGGTGATCTTGCTCTGGCAGGGGGTTTGAACTGGATGGTCTTTTGAGGTCTCTTCCAACTCCTAATATTCTGTGATTAAGAGCTGATTTTTATATTGCCTTATTCTGGTTTTAAAATTTGGTGATGTTTATCCTCTCATTTAACGTTTTTATTTTGATACAATTTCCACTTTTTGAAGATGGCTTTCCCTCACGTGGTAGCTTTTGGAGTACCTTTAAAGTCTTTTTGGGTATGATTTATATATTTGTTGAGTGCTAATGAGATATCTTTATGTAATACTTGCTATTGTGTAATCTGAGTATGCTGTGATCACTAACACAAAATATTTCTTTTACAGTTATGTATTAAACTAGGTATTTTTCTTCATTTAGGATTAAACTCAGGGTTGATTTTCACATGTGAATTCTCTGATGAATAGCTGTAATGCATGACTGGGTCTCTCATAATAAACTAAATATCTAGATCAAATCCAGCCTAGAAGGGAATAACTTGAAAGACCTTGTTGCTGTGTTTTCTGCTATTGTGGCTTCTCCTAAGTCTCACTTTTTTGCCATTACTCTTGTTTATAAAATATTGTTTTCTTGCCTTTTTAATATCTTCATCTTCCTGAAATATGTGGCATCAGTAATAATCTCTATCATGAAAGCATATTGAAGAGGTTTTCTTGGACTACAGAATCCTTTTATGAGGGAAGGGGTAGGAACACATGCCTCTCTAACTTTCATTCAGTGTTTTCTGCACTGAGAATTTACTATTAGATGTTGAAATACTCTATTTTATCTTGTATCAATAAAGCTTCATTGTAGATTGGAGGGTGTGATAATAACATTTATTTTAAGTGGAACTTCCAAGAAGCTTTTTCTCTAATGCCACAGGAGTCTCCTGTTGTTTTAATTTTGCCTGAGTCATAAGTTTAAGATGTAAAAGACAACTGTTAAGAGAAAGTTGATTTTTTTGTTTTGTTCCTTGACTATGAATCCTAGACCTTTAGCCACTTCACATCTCATGCATCTCTATGTTGTTTTGACTCCCTGTTCTCATCTAGGTTTTGTGTTGTCTGAGGTCTTCCATTTGTTTCCCCATCCCTGTGCCATTGCCCTTTCCCTGTGCTCAGTATTCCCACCATATTGGAAAGTGGTGAATATAGATAATCTGTCTTTTTTCTAGCTTTCAGAGGTTTGAAATTGAGCTAGCTTTCCAGGAGCCCTTTAATCTTGCACAAGGTGTGAGATAACAATTAAGAGATCATGGCCCACGCGTAACAAAGGATGCCTCAGCTCCTTCCAAATAGCTATGCTACCCATTTAGAGAGTAGGAGAGGACCTTTACATCCTGCCACTGAAGTGGAACACTGGGATCCCAGCTGAATCAAGAAAAGAGGGAGAGGGTTTCGTATACTGAGAAGTTGGGTCGCATCCTTCTGTAAAGGGAGAGGAAATTTATCTTGGATGAGTAATCAGAAAAAAAAAATCTTTCAACTTTGCTTTGTTCTTATTTAACTAACATTTTCACTAAAATAAATAAGCATATGGCGTGAACAAAAAAATGTAAAACTTGACCTTTGGAAATGATACAATGTTTTGCTGTAATTGTGATTCAAAAAAGTACATATTGTTTTAATAGAAGTCACCATTTATGCAGTGTAATCTTGTAATTATTTTTTGCAGTTTTCCCTGCTCAATTGATAAATATTGCCACAGTGTTCTTTTTGAAAGAGCAGGACTTTTAAACTCTATTTAAAAATTAAATAGTTACAGTCTGTTTAATATTTGTCTTTTTTCTCTCTCTAAGCAAGTTAAAAAAGTATGTGTTCCACAGGCTTATTTTTTTCTGTTCCATTTAAAGTTTTCTTCTCCCCGACTCATACTCCCATTCTTGTTGCTAATGAGTGTATCATCTAAAAATAGATATGTTCATCATTCTATAATATTTTGTATCTTTCTAGATTGGAGGCCAGTGTAATTGTAAGAGACATGTGTCTGGCAGACAATGCAATCAGTGCCAGGAAGGATTCTACAATCTACAACAGTCAAACCCTGATGGCTGCAGTCCCTGTAACTGTAATACCTCTGGGACAGTCAATGGAGACATTACCTGTCACCAAAATTCAGGCCAGTGCAAGTGCAAAGCAAATGTTATTGGTACGTGTAATGCAAGAGCTGGGAGCTATTTTTCGTGTTATCTCTGGAAATAAAGCACACTTGATTTCTAAATGAAAAGTATAGTAAACTTCTTTGCTGAAGGCAGAATATAAAAATGAATGAAATTAACTGTTGAAAAATTATTAATTTAAGAATTCTATCAAACTACAGCTTGAAGCTTAGTTTAATCAACCCTTTAGAAGTTTCTTTACGGCATAGTTACATTAGCTTACATAGCTTCATTCTAATAAGTCACAGAAGTAATGCAATTTGCTTACTGCATAGATGTTTCTTTTAGGAAATTAACAGTTTTTCAGAATGTTTTATACTTAATGAGTTCTAAGCAAATCGTTTCCATGCTAGTTTTCTTAATAGACCAAAATAAATGGATTTTTTTCTCAAAACATCCTGTGCTACAGGGTCCTTTGTGATAAATCTGTCCATTTTTTTCTATTATATTTCTTTGAACTGTTCCTATGAAATGCAAAATAAGTCAACATAATTCCACAGATCATGTACATAGCTAGGGTTAGTTATCAAGGGCCACATAATTTTAATTTTGTAATTCAATGCCAAGCTGATTATAATAAACTGCTACCTTCTGTGTTATTTATCATTTTTTTACAAGACGTGCTTTTTTGTTTGTTACTCCCACAGGTATTTTTCAGAAATTAGATTTGATTATAGCAATTTATTACTTCCAGCATATTTGAGGGGAGCCACAGCTACATAAGGACAAAATTTATCAAGTGCCCAAAATACACAGTATATATAATACACTTTGAAATGTTGATGTATGGGAATATTATGCAAGGAGAATTTCCTGATAAAGTGAGCCTTGCATGGTAACTGTACACATCTCAGACTATACATGTGTCTAAAAAAAAAAAATTTCTGCTTTGCTATTAACACAATTTGTAATCTTTTTGTTTTTTAAGCTATCAATAGTTGTTGGTTGTATTAACAATGTATATGTTAATTTATAACTCACTGATTTGTGAATATTGACTTATTTGTAATATTGTGAGTCTTTCTTTCTTCTGACTTCCAAAAGCAAATATAGAAATTACAAATAATGAAAATAACTCTAAACATACATAAGCCTGAACAGTGTCTGTCCTCTTTTCTGTGAAATGCCAAGTACCTATGTTTTCCATATGATAAAAAGGATGCTAAGAGAGAAAAAAAAAAACCTCTGTGCCTCTTAAACCCACTTTCTACATTTGATGAAAAGGACTTCAGAGCATTTTAAATTATATATTCTTTGCCTTCATTTCATATTTGTATGTGCAAAAACCTTTCTTAATTCAGTGGGAGTTTGGTATAGAAGAAATGCAGTCTGGTTCTCATATGTATTATTTTAAATGTTTTCTCCCTTTAATGAAAACAGTAAGAGTTATTTTTATTTCCACTGAAATAGTAATACAAAAAATGTGTAAATCTATGCTTTCTGCAAATTTAGCTGTAACTGTGGTGGGGGACTGTAGTTATACAAGTTTTTTTTCTCAGGATAAAAAACTAATATTTTCCAGACTTGATTCTCTATTTTGTTTTCCAAACTAATTGTCAATAAGCTTCTGTATACAGGAACGTGTGCAGCAAACTTTAACAAAGAGCTTGCTTCTTTGGATTTCTAAATTGGTTTTTAGAGCAATCTGTCTATTGCCATTTTACCTATTTAAACAAACACAGTAACAGAAAAATGCAACTATGGGCTGCGGTGTTATGAAATGAACTGTTAGAGTTAACACAACTGTTAAATCTTACTAATGATTCTATCTCCAGTAAAATACATTAGCACCAATAATTTTATTAAAGTAGGTCATTCATCTAGAATAAAAAGGTAGAAGAATGTGAATTAAATGCCAAGTGTGCTAACTCCCCTGTACTTGTTAACATTGAATGTGATGCCCTGTAGGCCTTCCTCAGTATCGTTAGGAATAGATTACCTGTCAGGAATATGTATGGCATATTCAAATAAGCACTGCGCATATTTTTAAAACTGATATGATATGAATCCATGTAGACCAATTTTAATAGTTCAAAATGAGTCATAATTCTTGTTAACAATACAGTTATTTTTAAAATTTGCAGCAATAGTGGTCCTTTTTTATTTTCCTTATTGAAATTAAATGATATGCCTTAGGTGAGTCATTCATCACTGTTAAAGGAATTTGCCTTCTGTTGGAATTTTTGAGTTTTTATCCATATGTATAATTCATTTCCTACCACTTTTAGTTTTATTTTTCTACGTGTAAGTTGCAAGATGTATTTTTGTATGTTTTAAAATTATTTTTAAATGATGACAATATTTTGCTAGAACACTGTATTTCTTTTTTTCTGTATGCACCAATTAAGTGATGGCTTCATAGTGAAGGATTTTCCCATTGTGAGGGAAAATACATAACTGTGAATTTGCATTTTTCATATAATAATCTAGTTGGCTTTCTTGTAATGTACATTTTATAAACTGAAATACAAATGCTATCCCTTGGGGCAGGGATAAAGCAAGCAATGACTTTGAAAACAAAGCTAATAAAACTACAGGATGAAGTGTGAAGAAAACAGTTTAGACTTTAATGTACTGCAGGAGTTAACTAAATCATACATTTAAATAAAAATATTTCATTTTGGCTTATGGAAAACATTTTCTGCTTTCAGTAAGGGCTAACAATAAACATGAACATAAATGTAATCAATGCTAAAACTGAAGTACAGTGTTAAGGAAATAATTCGTCATGATTAGTCTAACTTGTGTTGTCCTAGAGTATATTTAACGTGTTTAGTATAATACATAAATCTGTTATCAGAACAGATTGAGACCCCGGTGCAATTCCCTGTATATTGCATTTCTACAATGCAGGGTGAAGAGTTCACGTAAGCATTGATTGTGCAACAGGTGCTGTTCTGGGGTACAAAGAGATTAATTCTGGTTTGTCTTAGAAATGTTACAAAGAATCTCTTTCAGAAGTATCTTAAATTGTATTGAGAAGCCAGCAGAAATGCATCGCTTCTGAAACAAATTGGAAAAGTAAACAGTTTTTTGGGATGCCACTGTTACTCAATTGATTTGTGCAGCCCTGTCATTCCTGC